CCCAATTTCAAAAAATGAAATGGAACCTCTCATTACCAATCATGTGAAAGAATATGTTTTGACTAATACATGATGATACAAAATTTGCCGGGAAACCGCCTACTAATTCATATATTTGGTAAATTTGTTTCTCTCATGGTCTGTGAGAGATATAGGGTAGTCCCATATACATCTTTCTGTGTATAGTGCTTGTAACTTTACAAAGAAAGGGCCAAATTTCTTATCATTTAGATGATTCCAGAACCTTGCAGATGCTAGATGCTAGATGATCAACCTTTTCTGATCGATTCCACAAATTTTCTTTCACAATGCAGTCGCATGACCATAACTGGTCTTTACCTTTAAGAAGGTGTATGAAGCATCAGTTCAGTAATTAGGCATATGTAATGAATTGGCATCGTTGTGTTGCAGTGGTGTTAATTTGTTATTCCTACGGGCTGATTTCTTCGTAATTGGTCGCTTGTTTTTCGCAGGAAATGAGGGCATTGTGACTTTGAGTGTGACCAGAGGCCAGTGCACTGTTTCTCTGCTCTGCCAGGTTTTGGATGGACAGTGCATATGTACGAGGAGGCTATTGTGAATGTCAAGTGTACCACCTGTCCCTGATAAAAGTGATTTGAATGAAATTATTTAAATTAAATTTGACAGTAAACTGATTTGCACTCTTGAAAATTAAGAAATAATTTGGTATCCTGAATGCTTATTAAAGAAAAAACTGAGAAAAAACAGTTTTGATGGGTTTAAATTTTGTTTGTTTTGTTGTGTTTTCGTTTTTGTTATTATATTTTAATACATCAGTAAAAGTTTCACCCCAAATTTATGAAGTGCTAGTAAGGTATCACAGATACCTGTACTTGTGTACATGTAAGGCGACTAGGGTCAGTCAAAGTGGGTCTATGCTTTTTGTGAGCATAATTTTTATGATTTAGTGCTTCAATTATTCGTGCAAGGTAGTAACAAAAATTAAAGGCAGGAATCCATTGATTAGGAAATTACCATGACCACAGCCAAATTCACCGTATTTACAGGGTTCTTGTTAATAGCCGGCAACCGGCTATTTTTTCCGGCTGTAACGGCAATCGTAGCCGGCTGTAAGCCTCTCCAAAAAAAAAAAATAATAATACAAAAATCACATCATATTCGGTCAAGTCGCTATCTCAAATTTCTGTTATCACAAGCTTCACGAAGACACGCTTTCATAGCGCGGGGTTGTGAAAACGGTCGTAAAGAAATGAGATGAAACGTCTCCGAAACGATCGTAAAATAAAACCCTATTAAAATATGGACTTGCGGCGCGGCGCACGCGGGGGCTGAGCTATCTAGTATATGCCCAGTGCGCCAGAGCCTAGCGCAGGCCGGCAAGCTAGCTTACGCAAGAAAAGCGCGCGTTGTGAGCCGAGCTGAGCTAGCTGAGTAAATTTATCTCCGAGATCGCACGCCAGTCGAATTAAAATGGAATCGAAACGGCAGACATCGATGTCTTCCTTCCTTACTACAGGGTTCGTACACTTACACATTTTAAAAATTCCATGACTTTCCATGACTTTCCAGAGCAGGATAATGTAAATTTCCATGACCATTTTCAATGATGAACATGTCTTAATCTAAAGCGTACAACTATACATCATCGCAATACTAGGAAGCAAATTACAAAACTGTAAGGCGCACCCTATTTCGAAGATAAAAAAAAAAAAAATCTAAAAAAAAATCTGAAAAAAAATCTGGAAAAAACAACAACATTGTTACTAGACCTAGGTCTAACTTAGTTCACAAGCACTTCAACTGTGCCTTGTATAATGAAAAGTAAAAGTATTTTTCGAACACTGAAATAAGACGTGATCTGATCTGGTTAACAAAAAGCCACCAAAAAAAAGCCAACATTGGTCATTTTGTTAACATCAGATCGGCTCTTATTTTAGTGACAGCGTTCGAAAATACTTTCCTTTTATTACGAGGCACAGTTGAAGTGCTTGTGAACTAAGTTAGACCCATTTAACAATGTTGTTTTTAAAACTAAAGATGACAGAATTTTCCTCCGAGTCCAAACAGAAATGTGGACAGGCTAGTTTTCACGTGGTGATTCGTTATCCCCTGTGTAAGTGAGCTTGCATCATACAGGTGAGTGAGCTGGAGACACGGGAGAGCTTCGGCCGGCAAAGTCCTTGTGACAGGGCATAATTTATCGAGACTGAAGAAAAAAAACTGGAAAAAAAACTCTCTTCCTTTCAAATTTGGAACGTAGTTTAACTTCAAATAGTAGATCCTATTCTTTATTTGCATTATGTAATTCATGTTGAGACACAGAGATTTTTGAAACCACTAAAAAGTAGCATTTGAGGACTCAAATATCCTGTACCTGACTATATAAGGCCCATCCCCGACTTTGGATATTTTGCTGAGGGAAAAAAAGTGTGCCTTCATTGCGGACGTTGGGGAAAGCAGCAACCACGAGGCTAGGCTAGCTAACTACTGGCTGTATGCTCGCGCTCGAACAATGGACGCCAAATGTATATCAAATGCGATTCAGGGTTGCGATATTCGAGTAAAGAGCAACACAATTTTTAAAGGGGTTCTTCAGAAAACACGAGTGGCTCATGATACATAGTTATTTACGTTTAAATTATTGTTTCATGAATATTCTGTGGTAAAACCCCAGGGTAAAACACCTTCATTCAAACTTTTAATCAAAATCAAAGCACAAGCTCGATCAAAAAGTAATCGTACAGCGTGCATCCAGCATTCTTGTATGTACACACACCGGCACCACGCACCGCACCTGTCACTGCAAGTCATTCACGCCCACAAACATCTTGCATACAGTATGAAAGACACAATAGACACGGTACCAGTAGGTCCTAAAGATATTGCGTGTTACGAAAAAGGTCCTGTGAACCACAGATTTTACCAAATGTTTTTTCCTTTGTTCACAAGACAAATTAAATGCCATTTTAACAAACATCTTGAAAAAAAAAGATTTTCCCTGACTTTCCAGAAGAAATGGATGAATTCCCTGACTTTCCCTGACTTTTTACTTCTGGAAAAAACATTTTTAAATTCCCTGACTTTCCAGAAATTCCCTGACCCGTAAGAAGCAACGTACAGGTAAGTTTTTTATTTGAAATGTAAATAATAATGTAGGCTAAATTATAAATAATACCGGTAGTAATAATGAGTGTGAAACTGTGATTGATTTGGCGATGCACGATTCGATAACGTATTCGTAACACCCCCAGACCCCTGTGACAGCTGTCACATACCTGCAAACCATTTACCAATCCAATTTTGTCATATTTTTTTTTATGTGTGTTCCAATTTTTTAATTTTTTATCGCAAACGATTTTCTTCACTGACAAGGTCCTGTAAACGTCAGTTAACCGTTTTTGCCCAGGACTACCTTGTATCATTATCATGTAATTCAAAATTGTAGATTCATCACAAATATGATTGATTTATCAGAAACAATAATGGAGCATTTTCATTTCATATTGTATATCATATGAAAAGTAAGTTATTCAGCCAAAATATTCATGATCTTTATCATTAAACTATGGCTCATACAGTGTGGTCATATCTTCAAAAATAAGGCTAAGATAGCACCAGAGAGCATCTAAAACCCTAAAGCTTCCAGGGCCCTTGGGCGGGCCCTGGACCCCGGCCGCAAGGGACTTCGCGCTTCGCGCTCGTGATGTGCGCTTTGCGCACATGGTGATGTGCGCTACGCGCACAGAGATTTTTCTTTTGCAATTTTAGTAGCCTCCTGTAAATCATAAATAGCCTGCTATCAGAAAAATTAACAAGAACCCTGATTTATGAGATCTTAAACTGTAAATGGTTTAAAGATGAAGTTGAGTTCTGGTCATGCGATTGCATTGTGAAAGAAACAGTGTGGAACCGACCAGAAAAGGTTGATCATCTAGCATATAAGAATTTGTGTCTATTGCAAAGTTCTGGAATCTTCAAAATGATAAGAAATTTGGCCAAGTCTTGGTAAGGTTACAAACACTGTACACAGAAAGATGCATATGGGACTACACGAACACGTGGCGTAAAAAGCTGACCCCGATTTTTACGATGTTACATGCATATTTAGAATATGAAGGCATTTGAAGAGCCATGCTTTTCAGGGAACATGTCTTAAAGGTATTACAAAGTTTTGGTATGAAGTCATGAATTTGGTTAAAATGAACATGTTGGAAGCATATATGCGATTTTACAATATTCAATGATCGTTGTCGCGGTTGAAATCGAGTCTAAAGTGATGAAATTCTAAATAATAAACTCTTTATGTTGTATAGCGCCCTCTCAAGACTGATATTACTTTAGATTTTAAACAATGTTTCTTGACTACAATCGACCGATTTGCTATTTCCGTTTGGAAATTATATACCAGAACAGCATATTCTGAGATTTTCATGGTCACAGCTACCATGGAATGGCCTTAGGCGCTATTTGAAATTTACCGGGAGCACCGGTAAATTTTAGTTATTCAATTTGCTCGAAAGCAGAAGTGTTTTAGGGGCTAACATTTTAAGTGCTTATAATTCATCCACAGGGGCATCCATATATATCAAACATTTGAAGAATTACTATCCATCCAATTTCAGAATTTCCCAAAACTTTGTATTACCTTTAACTGATGTTCTTCCACACTTGCATAATAAGAATGAGTAATGCTCACAAATTATTTTTCACCTCTTCCCAGAACTCAACCTTCTCTTTAAACTGTAAATGGTTAATGGGAGAGAAAACTAGGCCATGAATTTGGTTGAATGAAGCCCAATTAGCACAAAACAGTGAGGGGTTTTAGCAGGGCTCAAAACAAGCTTGTCAGCACCGTGGCCATGAATTAAGTTGTATGTGTGATGTAATAGGGTAATCAGACCCATTATCTCATTACACATCAAGCCACAAAGCACACATTAGCAGAGAGATAGAAGGCTGATATGAGGAAACCCATTCTAAGGATGTGATTAGGAAAGAACCGGTGCATGTACATAGCTTTAAAAGTTCACTTCCATTCTCTGCGATGCTGAGCAGTGAGTGAGGCAGTCTGCTGGTGTGCGACGGTGGCAGTGCAGAGGCGGTGGTGTAGAGTGTCGCTTATCCTTATTATGTTCTGCGGAGGACTGGCATGAACACACAGTGGATTGAATGGGTGACTGACTGACTGATGTCAGTCAATCGGTTTACAGACTGCATGCATGTTGAGTGGGAGTAGGTTGTATAGGATTAGGTTACATCTATCAGCTGGTAGTTGCTAGCTAGCAGTGGGTTTTCATTCTGTCTGGGAACCCTGGCCCTGCTGAGAACAGGATATTCGTTAACCTTGACTGCAGCCAGGTCTAGTGTTGCTGAGCTGAGATGACTTTGTTTTCATGTGTACTGGGAATGCATTAGAGGCTCGCTGGCTGTTATGGTATCAGTGTGGTTTACTGTCCATGGTTTTAGGTTACATTATGTTATTGCGACAAGATACGTTTGATTCAAAATTGAATTTTGAGGACAGTTTGCCAGTTCACATTACACTTTTGGAGAGTGAAGTTTGAAAGTTGTGCCAGTCTCTGTTTTGATATTTTAAAAAATACAATTGTCATTGTCATTTTTGCAACGCAGTTAAACTGGTGGCTTAAATGCAAAATCTTCTCTAAGTTTGTCGTCTTGGGTGAAAGGCTTGCGTCATCCAAACTAATGAGTTCACCTCTGCTGCCTCCAAAACAAGATGGAACCCCACAAAGTGGGCACAGCTCCATCGTCTTGTGGTGACCTAGTGTCCATGAGGGGCATCCTTTGACAGTAATCAAAGAACACGTAGGCGTGGATCCTAGCTGGCTGTCTTCTTGTTTCTTCTATTCTTCATGTAAATGAGCAGCTGTAGGAGAAATATTCTTTTTATGTCTTTATGACGTCAGTCTGCTCTACTCTGCCAGAAGGTGGTTAGTCCATTGGGAAGGGACTCGACGCCCCTTCCATCAGCCTGCCTGCCAAGTGTCATCTCTGGAATAGGAGGAGAGGATATCTGCATACATGTGTGTGTATTGTGTGTGCATCATATTCTGAGGATCTCTGGTATTTCATGGACGTCGACGGTGAAGCTAGCTCGCATCGTACCATGTGTTTCATACATTGCATCCTGCTGACTTCGAGACAGACGGACAAAACATGTCATCGCTTGTGCATCTCTTAAATCCATCTCAGTCTGGCCTGCCTCCTTAATTTGAGGGAAGGCCAGGAACACGCAATTTTATTGACTCGAAAAGAGAGACAGTGCTTCAGGGCTTTTTTATGTTTCGACTTCAGTACAATTGAATTTTGAACAAGATGATGTCCGATTTGGAATGTGATGTCGTCATGTCTTTGGTCCAGCGGCGACCGCGGGCTCGAGCCCCATGTCATATCAACATTGTGGTAAGTGACTCTTTTTACATATATAATGCCTCTTTGGGCAAACTTGGTTCAATTTCCACACAAAAAAATCCGTTGACAATTTTCAGATATTTGTATATTAAAGATTCAGAATCCAAACAATTTTTTTTTTTTACAAGAAAATACCGGTAGTAGTATAAGCTGTAGTATTATATTTGTTTTGGAACATCAGAAATGTTGAGTATTACAGTCCTGTTCAGTAAAATGAATACCACAATATTATTACCATTAGCAGACAATTTTGTTTCCTTATTAAATAGCAATTTGTATCTTTATTAAGACCAAATTCAATTTACATTGTTATCTCTCATCCACCCAATATATTAGGACTTTGACATCATGCCTTTGGCTCAGGAATCCTTTATCACTTTTATAATTCTCACCTAATTTGAACAAAGAATAAATTTGAATGCAGTATTAAATATTGATGTGAATATAAGCCTAGATTATGATTATTATTATTATTATTATTATTATTTTTATTTTTATTTTTTTATTTATTTATTTATTTTTTTTTTTTTGGGGGGGGGGGGGGGGGTCGGGTAGGCACCAATCCTTCAGATTAGACAGCTAAAGATAACAATGCCTACACTGTACATTACAGTTTAAAAGTGAACTATATTTCAATTGCACTGTCCATGAAAGCTGCACTAATGTATTATAATTACCTACCCAGGCATTGATAATGTGATAGGAATTGTGACTAATTGTAACATTTGTCACTCATTTGTACTAGGCAACATGTACCTTGTATGATATGAACAGCAGTGCTTTTTAGTTTCATTTTCAAGTAAACAGACTTTCTACTCCGTTTGTATGATTGAAATAAAAATATATGGCTCATGTGAAATGTAAATACTGCATGCTAGACAAGGTCAAATAAATATTGTAATCCAAATAATGCTTGTAATGAAAACAGACTTCCAAACTTTGTACTTTGGTTTTAGGGTGTGAAGCCCAGTGTGAGGTATTGAATTGCCATAAAATTTGGCTCACACCTCCTGGATGTATGTATGACTTTGTGAATTATAACATTGAACTTTTCCCACGTTCTGTTATGCTCCAGAGTGAATGCAAAATTAATTAATTTATAAATATATTTAGTTTCCCACGGAAGGGCCATTTTAATCATTTATTGATCCTGATAATTTAGGTGATAATGCGTGTATCTGTGATACTCGGTGTACACTGTATAAGTTGAGCATTTACATTTATGAAATTAAACATGCAAAGTAAAATTTCCACTTGGCTTACATTTATGCACCATTTGAAGTCTATCCTCATTTGAAAAATTCATGCTCTGGTAGCAACAACCCCCCCCCCCCCCCCCCTCGGGTGAAAAAATTGTAATACACATACAACTTTTTCTAATGGTTCTTAATATTGAAGTACCTTTCAGAGGTATTGAGATCCAATGGCGCATAGTAATATCATCTCAAATGCACATTACTTTTGCATGGCAGGTGACCAGCATGAGTGCATTCTCATTCCCCACCGACTGTATATTTCCCTCTGATTTTCTCCTCAATTGATCGAGGAATGAGTCTGATAGCCATGACCTGCTTCTCGGCAGTGCTAGCTGCTCTTGTGGTGTAAATAAAGCTTTCTCTGCAACCACTCACCATCTTTTCCTTTGCATCAATCTTTTCGTCTTTTATTTTCTTCACATCCTGCTTCCTCACTTCCTCTTTCCTTCCATCCTTTTTCATCTTGCCCTCTTTTTGTTTTCCTCCATCTCCCTCCATCTCATTCTCTCCCTCCTCGACATCTCTCTCGTTCTTTCTTTCTTCCTTCTTTTTTATTCCATCCTTCAATATCATGTCTTAAGTGCCCTCTGCTTCTTTTCCTCCCTGTATGATCTCACCCCTCTCCCTTCTACCTCTTGGTTTCTGTCTTCCTACCTCATTTTCTCTCTTTTTGCATGTTATAGATACAATTTAGTTTTTAAGTCAAGAATACAAATTGCCAGGCTTCATACTGCATTTATTCTTTATATGCCACTCAAATAATCTCCCTGCCACATTTTTTCTGTAATGGGATATACTGTACGCAAGCATCATATACATTTATGTACATCTATAAAGAAATGTAATCTAGGGAGAGCATGGTTGTGTACAATACTTGTTCGGTACAACATTCAGACAGCGATTCAACCCTCTTAAATGTAAACTATACCTTGTCCTCTGTTTTTCTCATTCAATAATGCATCATGATAGGCATTAACACTGAACGGGAGATTAGTAAGAATTAACCCCAACCCCTAAAGAATGAAAAAGCACTTTACCAGTAATATGATTGTTCAATACTCCCACTATTTATAGGCCTACATAAAAATTGCAAACCAATTTTCCATTTACTTCAATTTGTCTATAGAAGAGCAATCAGATTTTAGGTTTTCTCAAATGAATGAAGATTGAAAGTTCTCTGAAATCCATGCCTATTCCCCCAGTCCCTCATAAAATGTTATTATAGCTAATTTTTAATGGAACAACACCAACTAAAAGTACATGTAGTGAGCGAGTGTAGATACAAAGGATGAGTATTTACTCTGCAAACACACATGTTTGGACATGTGTTCTGCAGTGTGATCCATCTAATCAAATCACTGCCTGTAAGCTCGCCAAACATTGAAGGAGACAAAAAAAAACATCAACCCGATTTCAAAAGCAATCCATGAAGTGGTTTAAAGAGCATTGGCAGTTCGTACGAAGGATTACATGGCGGTACTAAAATTATAAACTTTGATGCAAAGACCTTTGAATATCCAATGCTATGACATTTCGTTGCTGTTTTCACGAAGTGACGGTAGTGAAAAAAAATTGCATTAACTTTGCGTGACGATTTTCCTCACTACCGTCACTTCATGAAAACAGGGACGATTTGATGACATTTAGTATAATCTTTTTTCCTCAGTCATGCACCCACAAATTAGAAATTTGTCAGAAATTTTGACAACTGTGGTTAAGAAAGAAAAAAAAAAGGGGGAAAAAAAATCTTAACACTTTGATTGCTTCCTACGCCTCTCTGCACAGTTGCTTGGTTGTTTGCCAAATGTGCAATTTTGCACAAAAATAGACACCAATTGATGAAAGGATTGCTTTGTACTACACAATGGCTTTGCAAAATGACCCATTACCATGCAGTCTTGATCAGCCCATGACAACCCTTTTCACAATAATATAAATTAATCTTTCACATGAAACAGATAAATAATCTTGAAGCCTTTCATATGCCCCATTTATCGTACACTCATCATCATACTATTCATTTAAATGCAAATCTTCTTCTTGTATACAAAGGAAAGCTGAATTTACAACACAGATGTTGCTGTTGAGAGAAGTTGTTTCATATTATCATCAAGCCTTTACCAGGATGGCACCTTAGCGAGCCCTTTGAGGCAAACAGCACGTAACTCAGTAATGTTCTGTAGCTATCGATGACATACCCGTGGGTGGCGACCAATTTTTTCTGACACATCCAAAAACAATGAAAGAAAAGGAAAGCAGATCTTATGCAGATTTGCCTTAATAATGATGCGTTTCAGAGATTTGAAAGAATTGCATTTTCTTCAGGTGGTGTCGGTTGCATGCAAAGTGATGCTGTGGATTGGAAAGCGAAGGAGTATAGAAGGGTTGTAATGCTAGAGGCACAGTTAAGTCAAAGAGAATAGAGAATCGTCCAGTGGGAAAATATACAGCCTCACCAGAATTTGAACTCGCGATTGATTTCGTCTTCCATTTATAGCTCGGCACAGACGGCGCTTAAAGTGTTTGTAAATGTAGAATGTTGAACAAGTTTCCAAGAAGAACAACAGATATCATAACAACATGTATTATTGGAATCTCTGAAAGGCTATTGTATAATTGGGTTTGACTGCATTTTTGTTTTTGCCTTACGTTTTGACCGTGGTTTACATGAACAATTATATCCTAAAAAGTTAATGAGTCATCCAATGGTAGAAACAAGTTTGTGTAAACATTTATGATTTGTAGGCATTTAAAAATATATAAATATGATTCTATTACCTTGTTGTTTAGATACCTGTGGTAATGTATCATACCAGACAAAGGAACAAACAGTATCAATGACTAAAGACTCCCCTTCTATAAACACAGTGAAGTAATGAGACCAATCATGTCTAAACCACACACTGTTTGCATAGGATCATGAGTAGCATACCTGAAGTGTAATTCATATTTGTACTGATAGACAACATAATCATCAACTTAAAACATAGCTGCTGTGGATACCCTTTGCTTAGATGATAGATTGATTGTGAAAGTAGATTATAATTTTAAAGGTGATTTGATGTTGTATATTTCCTCCTGATCATTAATTATGCTTAAATCTTTCAAATATTTTGTATTTTATACAAGCAGGTTGCTATGGTAGGGCAAGGGGATCTTGTATAAATTGTTTGTCCAGTATTGTACCCATGATTATTCTAAAAACAATTTGTGTCGGCTGTGTCAAGACTAGCAAGTAGATGTTCAAGGTTTAATTAGAGGGTACTTATACGACTCAGTTGAAAGGCATGTTTTTAAGTTCATTTTTGTGGTTATACCTCTTTTTTTTTTACACAAAAATCACAAAAATCCTACTAGGGAGTAGGGATTAGTCACTGGCACAATGCCATTCTCCCCTTGTGGACAGGTATCTAGGGTTGTGTGCTGTATAGGATAAGCGGTTACAGAGTCTCCCTCGTCGCATTTTGTTACGAATTACTCATAACAACCAGGGGACACTCTGTCACTTACACACTCAAATGAAAAGGGGAGAGAAAGAAAATAAAAGGCAGGAAAAAGATTTATAGAGGGAGAAAGAGTACCCCCTGTGATATGAAACCATCAGAAGGGCATTGCTATGGATTATTTAATCACACTCTGGCGTAAAAGTAGGAGTAGAAAGCTTGGATTCAGGGGGGTACTCCATAAGGTAAGAGATTTTTGTTGTATACATATAGTTGATTCTTTTATATTTTA